ACAGCAACAGCAACAACAACAACAGCAGTCTGTGGTGGTTGTGGCCAAGGCTCCTCCTACTCCACCCACTCCCACCTTGTCTCTTTCTAAACCTGAGGCCAATGCTAAAAAACGATTAACTGCCAAGCCTACAGGGGGGGACTTTCCTCTTTTGCCAGATGCACCCATAACTCCTATTAGAGGATCCTCTTTGGCACCTAGTACGGTAGGGTCGCCTGCTCCTACAACTCCATTTACTGGAAGGTCTTCAAAACTACAAATGAAGACTCCTGGTAGTGATGAGACGCATTCACCTGTGCAAAGCCCTGTATCTGGGAACTTTTTCAATATTAGTTCGGGCCAATTGTCTCAGGTAACTCTTGCGGAGAGTAGTGGTAATAGCAATAACCGCAAGGCTTCCAAGTCGGATGTATTATCATATGCAGCAGTTGCCGCTTCTACCAAGGCCAAGCTTGGATTTCCCTTGACTCCTTGCAAGGGATCTTCTAATAGTGTTGCAATTGAAGACAGCGATGATGAAGATTTATTGGAGTATTCAGCAGATATGGTTACTGGAGGAGGAGGAGGAGGAGAAGCCATCACTACCACTACCACTACCACTACAACTACCAACACCACAACCAGCTCTACCTCTACTACTGGTAGTATTGGTTCTGAACGCAAGGCTGGGCTATTACGCGGGGGAAGTTTTTCAGGGGTGATGGATGGTGACAAGCCAGTGTCGCTTGCACCTTTGCCATTGGCATTTATTGGATCTAATCTTTCATCTCCGAGCACTCGGCGCCATCATTCGGTATCTCTTGGAAAAATTGGGGACGAGGGAGTGCCCACTATTCGCCGTGCCAGTTTTACCGAGGAGATTTTGAGTGGTGTTAATAACAATAATAATAGTAATAACGGCACCAACACCAGCACCAGCACCACCACATTAATGGCACGAGCTCCTCCTTCTGAAAAAACGTGGACTAGTTTACGGTTTATGACGGAGACTAATAAGTTGTTTTGTTCTTTGGAGGGAGTTCCGATGCGTACACATGTTGCATTTCGACACCCGCAGCGTCGCAAGAAGGGCCAGTCGATTATTACACGAGAGGAAAGTACGTACCGGTCCAAGCATGGGCTTTGCATTAAATGTGGGAACCATTTGGCGGGATGTGAGCAAGGTGATTGTGAGGCCAAGTGTGTTCGGCATCCTTATTATTACAATTACTTTAACTGGGAGCTTTGATATTTAGTTAATTTTTTTTTTTAACATATATAATATATAAATGATGATATACTTAGGTTTTTTTTTTTTTTTTTTCTTGTTTAATTTTACAACTTTGCACCAAGCATTTGGTGGACCTTGAGGGACTGGCGCATGGCCAAGTCAAGCATAATTTCCTCAGAGCCACCAGGGATGGCATAGGCACGGACTTCACGGTACAAGCGCTCAACCTTGCCAGCCTGGCCACCACGGGTGTAGGCGAGACCACCAAAGATTTGAGAAGCTTCACGAGCGCAAAGTTCCAAAGTTTGGGTGGCAAGGGCCTTGCATCCTGCAATGGGACCACCGAGACGGAGGGCAGACTCCTTGGGGGGCATAAGGGCCATTTGGTATGTCAGGTTTTCGTACCAGCTATGGACAGCTTCGATACGGATAGCCATATTTGCGAGCTTATTACGAATGACAGCGTGGTTAATAAGCTTAGTACCAAAAGTCTTACGCTTATGAGCGTGCTTGACAGCTTCTTCGTAGCAAACACGGGAGAAACGGTTAGCTTGGCCGATAATTCCGAGACGTTCATGGTTAAAATTGTGGACAATGACCTTAAACCCCTCATTTTCCTTGCCCAAAAGGTGTTCGACGGGGACCTTAACATCTTCAAAAGTAATGTAGGTGGAACCAGAGGTCAGCATACCTTGAGTGTGAAGCTTACGGACTGTGATACCGGGCATAGTCTTTTCAAGGAGCAGGACAGAGATGCCGCCCATGCCTTCACCACCAGTGCGAACAGCGACAGTAAAGTAGTCAGCCCAGATACCATTGGTGATCCACTTCTTGGTACCATTGACAAGGAAGTGTTTGCCATCAGGAGTTTTTCTGGCTGTAGTTTTAATGTTGGCAACATCTGAACCAGCATCAGGTTCAGTGATACAGAGACAGACACGCTTATCACCGGCAAAGATTCCAGGGAGGATACGTTGTTTAATATCTTCACGGGCAAAGTTCCAAATGGGGGGGAGACCAATGCCGAGGCCTCCGAGCAAGAACCAAGCAAGACCACCAGAGCCAGCACGGCAAACCTCATCGACTAGAATAAGTTCATGGAAGGGGTCAAATTCTTCTGGGGTGACAGATTGGAGGCGACGATCCGTGTACTTTGAAGGGAAGACAGGGATACCACAGCCGGCAGCAACAAAGCCAGCTTGACCAAAGGCCTTGTAGACTTCATGGGGGATAGCACCTTCTTCTTCCCAATCATCAACGTAGGGTTCAAGGTGTTCTTCAACAAAGTCGCGGACTTCTTGGCGGAACTTTGCGTGGGATTCCTTATAGAAGGGAGAGCGGTTACCCTGGTACCAAGCGGGGTCAGCGTAGGGGATATTATCACCAAAGACTTCTGTTTGTTCTTCAGTATTGAAGGGAGAGACTCCGGTAAAGTCAGCCTTTGTAGGGTTTACAGCAATGAGAGCTGAATTGTTGTTGTTATTATTAGAAGATGATGACGACGACGACATTATATCTGAAGAGAGTTTATTTTGAGAAATAGTTTTATTATCAACGATTTTACCAATTCTGAATTTGATACCAAACTTTTTCATAACCTTTTTAACGTTGTGATACTTGTGAAAGAATTCAGATGCGTCAGTTCCTGCTACCTTATTAAGAATAGGTTTTCCGCCTGGATGGATTTGTTGGAATTTGGTAAGATCGTAAACGTGGCCGTCAATGATGATCCAAAGGGAGTCAGTGTTGTTATGTTTTTGAACTTCCTTTATGAAAGATATTTGAATATGTTAGAAAAGTAAGAAAGAAAGAAAGAAAAAATAAAATAATATATTTTTTTTTAATTAAATAAAAAAAATAATTGGAGAGAAGGGAAGGAAGAAAGAAAGAAAGAAAGAAAAAAGAGAGAGGGAAGTGGAGATATATATATATAAAGAATGATTATAAAAGTCTTAACCACATGATTTGTTTGTGAAGACTTATATATTTATATATAAATATATTTAAAATATCAAAAAGTATCCGATATATGTGGGGGGAGTAAAAGAAGAATAAGAAATAATGAATGAATGAATAATAAATGTAATGACAAAAATAAAATAAAATAAAAACTTACCTCGACTGTAAATTCCTTGAGTTCTGGCATAATGATGATGAAGATGAAGATGAAGATGAAGAAGATACGAAAGAATACGATTTCAAAAAAATAAATAAAAAAGGTTTGTTTTAATTAATAAAAAAGTTGTTGTAGATTTTTTAATAAATATATATATATATTTAAATATTAAAAAAAAAAAAAAAAAAAAAAAAAGGGAAGAAAGAAAAAAAGGAAAAAAAGGAAAAAAAATTACTTTGTGTGTGAGGAGATTCTAAGCGGGTCTTTTTATGGTTGACTGGAGATTTTTTTTTTTTTTTTTTTTTGAGTTTTATTATAATAATAAATAAATATAAATAAATAAATAAATTAAACTTGAATTTAAATAAAGACCGAGTGGGGGAAATATAATGAAGAATAAGCCGAAATCAATTAATGAAATCAATCAATCAATCAATCAATGATTATTGGTAGTAGTAGTAGCAGTAGTATTAAATTATTATCAAAATGAAATCAACAATATAAAAAAAAACCTGATCTGACTTTTTTTTATATTTACAATTTTAATATAATTGAATAATTGAATTAATAAAAAAAAAGAGTCCAGATCTTCTTCTTTTTCTTCTTCTTCTTCTTTTACTTTTAGTTTTAGTTTTAGTTTTATTTTTTTCAACGGAAGTCTTTGAAATCAAAGCCGAGGATCCAAAATAATATAATATATACAATTTGCTACTCCTTCTACTACTACTACTACTACTACTACTACTACTACTATTGTTATTGTTATTGTTATTGTTATTATTACTATATATGATTTTGGTCTCCACACACACACACACACACACACACACTTCAAAGCCCATTTATTCGGAACTTACGTATATATAGGATGGACTTGCACTTTAATAAATTGCTTTCTTTCTTTCTAGTTTTATATATATATATATATATATATATACAAAAAAAAAAAAAACTAATTACTTTTAATTCAATTGGTTTTTAAGACTTTAAAGATCCAATTGAATTAATTAAATAAATAAATTTTTTCTTTTATATTAAATAAACTTTGAAATTGAAAAAAAAATAAAAATAAAAATAAAAATAAAATGGAAAAGAAAATGAAACTTTCATTCTCCTCTTTTCATTCTCTTCTATATGCTTTATAAATTTTGAGCCGAGGTATTTTAATAATAATAATAATAATAATAATAATAACTATAAGTCACGTGGTTTATAAAATATTTAATATTTAATATTTTGTTTTTGTGGGGTAGTCAGTAGTCAGTAGTAATAGTGGTAGTAATATAATTATTATAATTATTATATGATCATGATCAGTCAAGTCACACCACAACAACACACACAAAACTTGTTAGCGGGGACTTCTCGGCCAATGGGCGCCGCGGCAAAAATAAGCGGTCATGGTGGTGGTGGTGGTGGTGGTTTTTATTTTTTATTTTTTATTTTAGTGTGTAAACAAAAAAAAAAAAAAAAAAAAAAAAAAAAAAATAATGCACATGAAAAAAAAAAAAAATTACTACTATTTTTATTACATAAGATACTTTATAAAGATTAATGGTCTAGAACTCTTTTAAAAACGTTATATAATCATACGTAATCATTTGCTAAACTTATAATAATTAATTAATTAATTTATTTATTAATATAATTTAATATAATTTAATATAATTTAATATTATGTCATTACAACTTGAAATATTTGTAACATTCAGCCTCACTTATTTTTTTTAATTATACACAAACCCTAACCCTTCTTTTTTCCTAATCCAGCCTTCCAAGCCTCTCCAACCCCCCCCCTTAATGGCCATTTGGCTTCTTCATTCTCGCTCACTCTTTTCTCTCTCTCTCAACTAAACATACAAACATACAAACAATCACATCTTTAACTACCACCAAACAACAACAACCTTTTATTTGAATTCATATCAATTCAATTCTAAATCATTAACATTTACCAACACATTTACACTCCATAATCATAAACATATATTGATTCAATAATAATATATATACCCCTCCCTTCTTTTATTTTATTTTTATTATAATATAATATAATATAATATAATACCTCCTTAGAAAAATTTACCCTTTTCTCTAAAATGGCTACCGTGGCTGTTGCTGTCCACCCGCTCGCCATCCAGGACCGTACAAACGAGTTCCGTTCATGTATCGCCTCTCTCTCAAAATTAAACAATGCAACTACTGCTTCCTCTCGTCAAGGCCTTCTCAATGATTCCTCTTCTCGTTATGCTCCTACCTCTTTAGATTCTGATTCTTCCCATACCTCTTCCTCCTCTTCTAGCCCCAAGAGCCAATTTGCAATCCGTGCTGCATCTATTGCTCGTGAAATTGAAGACACTACTGCAATGTTACAACGACTTGCTTTGTTGGCTAGACGTAAAACTCTCTTTGATGATAAACCAGTCGAGATTTCTGAACTCACTTTTGTCATTAAACAAAAAGTGTCCAAAATTAATAAAAGTATTGCTGACTTACAAGCTTACGTCAAATCAGGACTTACAGGATCTGACTCAGGATCTTCTGCAGCTGCTTGGGGTGGAGGTAGCAGCAGTGGAAGCAATTCAAAACAAGGTAAAAAACAACTTTCAGAACATGCAAATAATGTTGTTGTATCTTTACAAGGTAAATTGACCGATGTCACTACAGGATTTGAAGAGGTTTTGGAAGTCCGCATTAAAAATATCCAAGCGTCGAAAAATAGGAAAGACCAGTTTATATCAGCTGTTGCTCCAAATGGATCGTCATCAATTGCAACAGGATCTTCAGGTTCAGGTTCAGGTTCTGCTGCTTCTTCAAATGTTTCAGGAACTACAACAGGACCCAACAATTCAGATCTTAAATCTCAAGACCAACAAAATTTTAGCAACCATGATTCACCATTATATTCAGTATCAAGAGCACGCACACCACAACAGCCAGTAACATCTGCAGCCGCAGCAGCAGCAGTTTCAGTTCATGGCTCGAAATCAGCAACACCAGTCCCTGGAGGGCCTTCACTTTCTGAAAACCCATATGCATCCAACTCTGCAGCCTTACAACAAGACGGCAGCATATCCGGAGGTGCAGGAGCTCATACAGACTACCTTGCACTACCGGAACAGCAACAAACCTTGGCACTTCTGGAAGAACAGCACGCACAACAGGAGTTCCAGTACATGGCGCAGCGGTCGAATGCAGTTGAGGCTATCGAATCAACGATTCAAGAACTTGGAGGTATCTTTCAGCAACTTGCTACCATGGTATCTGAGCAACGTGAAACTATCCAACGAATTGATGCTGATACAGAGGATATTTCACTCAATGTTTCTGGGGCTCAACGTGAGCTGCTCAAGTATTACGCTCGCATTTCGTCTAACCGTTGGCTCATAATCAAGTCGTTTGGAATCATTTTATTGTTTTTCTTTCTCTGGGTTATTGTCAGTTAATTTCTCTTTTCTTTTCTTTTCTTTTCTTTTCTTCTTTTTTTTTTTTTTTTTTTTTTTTATAAAATTCATTTTAATTCTTGAACAAACCAAACGAAACGAAACGAAACGAAACGAAACTAAAAAAAAAAAAATAAACCAAAATATGCTTGTATTTCTAGTTGTATAAAATATATATAAATTTAATGTTGATAATATATTTCTTTAATTTTAGGTAGATAAGACTTATACGACAATGAAAAAGGAAAAAAATGGGAGGGAAAAAAAAAGAAAAAAAGAAGACAAACAACTTTGTTAAAATAAAACAAAAAAAAATTAAATATAAATATATATTGTTAAAGTAATAAAAAATGCTTTCACACACACAAACACGTCATGGTATCGTCACTTCATCATCTCCAAATAAGAAAAAGAAAAAACAAACAAAATATAATCATTCATCTTAATGTTATCCCCATCACAGAGCCATTTCGGCCTGAAGTCTCCGTAGCTCTTCCTCCTCGTCTGAATCCTCTTCTTCCTTCTTTGCTGGGGTTGCTGCATTTTTGGTAGCTGGGATATTTGTTGTAGATGAAGATACCCCCCCAGGAATAGCAACTGGGGCACGTCCTGCTCCAACCACCATTTTTTCCTCCAAAACTTCTTGTTCAAGGTTTTCAAGTTCATCATTAAGTTCATCATCATCCATTTCAAGCCCAGCAAGTGGCCTCGAAATTGCATTATTAATTTCTTGACCCAAAGTTACTTGCTCCTCAATTTCATCCATAGTCTGATCAACCTTATCAATGTTCATATTACCATGAATATGCTTCAAAGCCTTGGACCCTTGCTTCATTGCCTTCATGGTCTCAAAGTTTAGGTTCGCAGATTCAATCGCATTTAGCTGGCTTTCCAGACTGTCAATCTGGCCCTGCAATCCTTCCAAGTTTTTCTCATGCATTTTCTTTCGTCGCAGCGCCGTTCGGGCCACTTTATAAGTTAGTAATAATGTATATTAAGGAAAATAAATAAATAAATATATAAACAAATTAAAAAAAAAAAAAAAATTACTTACAGTTCTTGTTGGTAGTCACATTTTTGCGTGCCAGATTCTCTTGCTCCTCAATCTGTTTCGTCAGATAGTCCTCCTTTTTTTGGAGAAGTGTGATCTGCATGCGCAAATCTGCAATCGCCTTCTTAGGTGTATCTTTTTTGGCATCATTATTGCCAAAGAACATGGAAAACAGTCCGCTCATAGTACTTTTAAAAAAGGTGGTATATATATATATATGTATGATATTAATGAGTGGGGGAAATGGTGAGGAAAAAAAAAATGTTAAGTAATGGTTATATGTTTTGAAATGGGTTGTAAGAATTTCTTATATATATATATATATGTAGATATAAATATATAAATGTGTGTTGTTAGTGATTGACTGATGGTGGTGGTGGTGGTAGAAAGAAAAAAAAAAGGTGCTGTAGAAAAGATAAAGAAAAAAAATAAAAAAAAATAAAAATAAAGAAGTGGCGCGAATTCGAGGTTTGGGTTTTTGTTTATTATATATATATATATATTTTTTTTTTTTTTTTTTTTTTTTTGATGGTGACAGCTTCTAAATTAAATTTTTTATTTTTTTTTGGTTTCTACACCGCCATTTAAAATCATCATCATCACCACCATCACTAACAACAACAACATCCTTCGGACTTACCCATCACCACCATCACCGCACATCCCCAACCTTCTCACATGTCCCAAGTTCTTATTGATCATCTCCCTTGTATGTATTTTATTTTATTTTTTTATTTTAAATTTTTTTAAATTTTTTTTTTTTTTTTTTTTTTTTCAATCTGTCATCCCCATATTAACTTACCCTTTATAGACATTGACACCGATGAACCATCGGAACAAATGATCCAGCTCTCGAAAACTCTCATTGACAAAGAACTTACTCACATGAATCCATCAAATCTTCATCCAAATCTTCCCAAACCTCTTTCGTCATCTCTGTCTGAACCTCTCGACTCTTGGCTCACACATGTCGGCACTCGCACCGACTCTGATCCCCACCACAAATACCCTCGTCTTGACTTAGACCGCTATTCTTCTCCCCTTTCTTCTTCATCTTCTTCTTCTCCAGACCTTGCTCAAGCTTATGTTGCACTTGCTTACACTCAAGCTCGTCGTGAGAGTTTGGCATTGGCTGCAACTCACGGCAAAAACCAGTGGCTTGCAGGCAACGCTACACTAGAACGTACACTTGAAAATGTAGAGTCTGCTCAACGCGAAGCTCGTGCACGCGTTGAACTGGCCCAGAATGCAAGACGAGAGGCTCAAAATGCTGCACGGCCCACAGTCGAGTATTTGGAAGACCGTTGGAAAAATGGGATCCAAAATGTGGTTCAGGTCAATGTTGCTGCGCTAGAACTTAAGGCCCAAAAGAAAGAGTAATACCTGTGATGAAAAAAAAAAAAAAAAAAAGAAAACCAATATTGAAAAAAAAAAGGTTTCGGGTTTTAATTTACTTTGTGCAATGAAGATGACAAAGTTGGACTTGTGTACCATGGTAAACAGACAAGAGGGAGGAGGTTTTTTTATTATCCAACTTAAGACTGTTGCAATAAATCTAAGACTTAAGACCGAAGAATGGAAATAATTGGTAATGGAATCAAAAGGATCCAAAAACCTTTGATAAAAAGAAGACTTATTATGAATTCATTCATGGGGTTAATAACTTTATAAAAAGATTTCAACCCCCTACTGTGCCAATTTTTTTTTTTTTTTTTTTGGAGAGAAGGAAGGGTTTACTCAGTCTCGAGACATTTTGCTTTTTTTGCTTTTTTTGGTTTAATCTTTTAACCGCGCGCTTCTTGTTGTGGCATTGATAGCCGGGTTGCACCGCTGTCTGCAAGTCCATCCACTTAGAACAAGAAGTCCGAGTCTTTTTTTTCTGGTTCTGGTTGAAGGATGGTGTGTGTATATATAAATAGAGATTTAAATGACTGGTAAATATTCTTGGGTTTTTTTTTTTTTTTTTTTTTTTCTTCTTCTTCTTCAAAACCTCCATAACTTGTTTTAATTCATTCTTTCTTCAACCTCCCAAAATAATTCCAAAATAATTCCAAAATAATTCCAAAATAATTCCAAAATAATTCCAAAATAATTCCAAAATAATTCCAAAATAATTCCAAAATAATTCCAAAATAATCCTAAAATTCCAAAAATCATGACTGCAGGCAGACTCCTCAATTACTCTTCCAGACTTACCATCTTCGAACACGCCCCGGCATCCGGCTCCTACCACCCCACAATTGTTCTATTCATTGGCGGGCTTGGTGATGGTTTAGGAACAGTCCCCTACGTGCCAGCTCTAGCACAAGCTCTTGACGCCCAAGGCTGGGGGGTTGCAGAGCTTCTCTTTTCATCATCCTATGAAGGCTGGGGGTTTGGCTCACTTTCCCGTGATGCTAAGGAAATGGCTCGTGCAATTGGATTTCTACAAACAAATAAAGAAACCTCTAAAAAACGTATTGTACTCATGGGCCACTCTACAGGAACTCAAAACCTCATCTATTATGCAACCCAAAACATCAACCCAAGTATCCCACGCCCTCCTGTCGATGGCCTTATCCTCCAGGCTTCTGTGTCAGACCGCGAGGCCTTTGTTAAGTCTAATGGCGAGGAAAAGTGGCAAGAGGCATTGGCTTATGCCCAAGATCTTTTACTTGCCGATATTGAGACTCAATCCAAAGCTTTAATCAAGGCCGAAGCACCTGGATTTTCACCCATTCCTCCTAAATATACACGTCTGTTTTTCGGTGCTCAGATTTCATCCTACCGTTGGGTTTCACTCATGAAAGTCCGCGGCGATGACGACTTTTTTTCTTCTGATCTCGATGATAAAGATTTTGAATCAACTTTTGGTAAAGTCTCCGTCCCCTTGCTTGTTCTTTATTCAGGAGCTGACGAGTATGTTCCTGTAAAAGTGGACAAAAAGAGTCTTGTCAAGCGTTTCCAAAATGCTACAAAAAGTGACTTCTGGAGTCCATTATCCCACGTTGTTCCTGATGCTACACATAACCTGGCTGATTCCCCACAGAGTTCTTACGACGATCTCATTTCCTCAGTCGTCGCCTTTATTCAGTCCGTCTAAAAAAAAAAAAACTTGTATGAAATTATTATTAATTACACTTCTTCTTCTTCTTCTTCTTTTTTTAAAAATTCATTTAATATTTGCTTCCTTTACTATTTACCATTCAGATTCAACATTGGCCTTGTTAAACACATAGTCTCGGCCATTAATATTGGCCACTCCATCCTTAAGAACATACTTCCACTTATTCTTGACTCGCTGCACCTTATCGTATAGACACAGCATCATCATCGAACTCTCAGAATCATCATCCTCACGGCCTGACCCTTCATCATCATCAGAGTCATCCAAATCAGAGTTGATCCCATCACTGTCATCATCGTCATCATCATCTCCACCAGCTCCATCCACTTGTTGTTTTTGTAGCCGGCGTAATAAATGAGGTGGTATCTCTATTTCCAGTGACGACATTCCTCCCTGCTCTTGGGAGGGTCCCCCGGGTATCCTGCCTTGGCTTATGCTAGTTTCTATTATTCCGTCCACTTCTCTCGGCGTCAAGCTATCCAGCGCTCTTATCCGCGAATGTGAGGTCTTGTTATTAATACCTTCTTCACTTATTGTAAAGACTCCCCCACTAGGTCCATCTGTCTGTGCAATCTTCCCGCCCCCAGGCAGAAACAGCCCGCCATTGTTGCCCGCGGTGGTTGTTGAATTAGCGCCTGCTGGGACACTGTCCTCACGCTTTATTTTAGGCTGGTCGGCCGCAGAACCTTGCTTGTTTTCGCGTGAAGATGTCGAGCTTAGTGGCGGCGCAGGCCCACCAACTGTAAGTAAAACATCTTGTGGTAAAGGCGAGTCCCAAGGGAATTGCGCAACATGAAGGGCAGACAACTTTTGCTGCCAAATTTTTTTGAGTTCTTGCAAAGTCGCCTCATCCACACCACGGTCTTCAAAGTCGAGACGGGCTTCACTAATGACGCCATCTATAATGTCTTGGTAAAGAGCTCCCTAAAAGTAAACGGTCAGCCACAAGACCCAAAAAGTAAAATAACAAATAAAAAGAGATAAAGAGCATACCACAATGACATTGGACATTTTTGATTATATATTATTACTGATTTTATTAAAAAGTACGTTATATATCGAGAAGATAATAATTTGAAAGAAAAAAAAAAGATATTTCTTTTTAAATAAAAAAAAAATTCCGCGCTAATATCTAGTGCGAGAGAAATAGTTTGAATATTGTGGTTTTATATTATTATACAGCCAAACGAATCAAATAGGACGAGTCTTTTAAATAGGAATTTTTTTTTTTTTTTTAAATTCGACTCTTTAGGAAAAAATTACAAGAAAAAAAACGACAAAAATATCTAAAAACTCCAGACAAAAATCACAAGATGCAATAAATTGTTCTAGATATCGATACTTCAGTTAAAATAAGAGTGTCGTTTGGTATGATTTCGTTTTGTTTTATTAATAAAAAAAAAAAAAAGGGTGGCGATTCTTTGGCTGTGGGCGATAATTTTTTTATTTTTTTTTTTTCAATTTATAGGAGGAAGGAAGGAGAAGGTGGTAGGAGGACAAGTTTGCACGCAGGTGGCAAAAAGCAAGGGGGTGAGCTCTGAATTTCTCAGAATGGGGTAGGTATAGGACCTACGTCTTTTCTTAGAATATTTCAGACCTCACGTGATTCAATTAAAAAATTTAAGCACCACCACCACCACCACCACCACCACCATTCTCTTTCCTATATAAAAAATAGAATCATCAACTTTAGCATAAATCTAACAAGAAAAAAAAAAACAAACAGAGCACAAAGTCGCGTGGACTGTCTGACAAGTTAATCGATCAATCAATTGATTTATTAGATTGTAATGATATTTTAAAATTGTATTTTTTGTAATCACTTTTAATGCTAAGAGTCGGATCTTGGGGTGCACACGTGCCTTTCCAAGTACAATTCTCTCTCTCTTCTTCTGTTGCATATCTTCTCCACAGATGCATTGTAGTAGTAAAGAAAAAGATGGTGGTAAAGGCCCATTTTTCCATGTGTGGCATATTAAAAAAAAAAATTATAAGCTTAAGATTTTCATCTTCACAACCTTCACAACAGTATATTATTGACAAGCTTTACATTTGAGATTGGATTCCCGTTTAAAGACATATATATATATATAACCACTAGAAAAGTAGCCAAATCTTAAAGTCTCAAATTCACATTTGCATTTATTCTTACACCCTTTTTACATTTCCTACACACATTTAATGACAAACTCTCAGTTTATAAAATAATCCTGCCCTAAACAATCTCTTTCAATACGCGTTTCAACATCAGAAATAATAGATTAGATTCCGCGCCTATTCTGGTCAAATGGATGGTACGATATTTCTAAAAGCTGTATATTGTTTTTTTTTTATTTTATTTTATTGTTTTCTAACTGGGTTTCCTTTTAGTTCACGGAATCCTGAATGACATTGCGACGCAGGGGGACCTCGATCCCTCAATCACCTGGAAATCATTCCAAGAGGCCCTCATACCGTATATAGACGAGGTATCTACAACCCGCTTTGAAATTTTTTTTTTTCATTAAAAATTTTTTTTAACAATATTCTAACTTTAAAGGTGCTTTCAAAACATTTTACTTCTCCAGACAACGCGTCTGTCGTTAATGGATCGCCATCCAAACTAGACTTGAAGAATACCACAAGTACAATACCTTCTTCTTCTTCCCCAGATTCCCACCCACAACCCCCTCCTCCTCCACCACCACCTAAACCCTTCTTTCTTGACCCTCTAACAAAAGAATCATTCACTCGCGAGGAAATGGTCTGTGATGTAAAACAGCTTATTCAAACTCACGAAGCTGGACCACCATTCACTGTCCAGCGTATGGCAGAATTACTTCTCCAGCCTAACTTGCAGTACCCACCCACTCAGGAATCTAAATACCTTCTGGCTCTTACTCGTGTTCTCAATGTTGCCTCGAGTGTTGCTGAATTTGAGGACCTTGACATTATTAAACTTTCTGAAGAAAGAGAACGTCAGGCTGAGGAGCGTGACAGGTTAGAGCGAGAACGTGAAGATAACTTCGACGATGAAGATGACTTTCCATTCCCCATGCTAGGACCTTCCTCATCTTCAGTTACAGAATCGCGTGCCATTTTTGGTGCATCAGGAATGCTCAAAGAAGAACAAGACTCTAACAACCTGCAAGAAAATGATGACGAAGAAACAACTCATGAAAAATCGGCAAATGAAGAAGATACATCTACCAATGAACGGCCCATACTGAGACTATCAGGGCTACGATCTCGAAGCTCGTCGATCCCGTCAACTCCAATGTCGTCCGATGGCTCGTCCATTGTCGAACAACTCAATTCAGTGGTAGTCATGTCGCCAATCCCGTGGATCAACGGGCGCTTAGACAGGGACGATGATGAGGATGATGATGACCTTCATCATGGTAATAGCATTGATGACGGGGAAGATGGGGCTATGCGCGGGCGCACGCTCATGGAGGAGCTCGCGGACGCAAGCAATTTGTTGGATGATGGTGGAGTCCCTGAGAGCACAGAACCCCCACAAGAATCAATACAACAAAAACAACAAGAATCAATACAACAAAAACAACAAGAATCAGTACAACAAAAACAACAGGATTCTAATAACAATGATAATTACACCAAGACTGATGATGAAGATGTGGAAATGCCAGATGTGACCGATGAGATCGATGCTGCGAGCGAAACAACGAGTAAAGTAATGGATTTTGCCCAAGAGAAGGTGGCAGAAGAACAAGTTCAAATAAAAGAGCCAATGGAAACCAGCGACACTGAGATAGAGGCATCGGGTCAAAAGGAAGAAAAGAGTGAACAGAAACAAGAACAAGAACAAGAGCAAGAAACTAAAAAGCCTGTCAAGGAGGCTGTAGAACAAGTCAAGGAAACTACAGAACAAGTCAAGGAAACTACAGAACAAGTCAAGGAAACTACAGAACAAGTCAATGAGACTGTTGTTGAAGCACCCAAAGAGACCTCCACAAAGACAATACAATCAATCACAGAGGAGTCTACAGAACTTGCCAAAGAAAATGAGGATGAAGAGGATGTTCAAGAAACTTCAAAAAAATCAGAGCCAGTTGCTGAACCCAAAGAATCCATTGAGGATGCATCTGAAAAAGAGTTGGTTTCTGAAGACCTCATACAGCCAGTTGCTAATCTTCAACCCTCTACAGATCAATCTATCTCTGAATCTATACCCCCAGTTTCTGAAATACCTACAAAGCCTGTCTCTGAAATTCCTATAGAGAAAGTCTCTGAAATTTCACAAGTTTCTACAAAACAATTTTCTGAATCTTCTGAATCTTCTGAATCTTCTGAATCTTCTACAGACCAAGTTGCTGATGCACCCACGAAACCCGACTCTGATGTTTTGAGCAATAAATCATCACCTCCATTGACGGAAAAATCACTACAAAAATCACCTGATCCTGAACTTTCTAACGCCATGGTTCTCGAAGGTGGTGTTAAACGACGGCGACTATCTTTCAAGCCTGGTGAAAGTGATAGCGATGAAGAAATGACAGACTCTGTTTCACCACCAGAAAAGAACATAGACAAGCCAGAATAGATTTGAATGTAAATGTGAATGAGAAAAAAAAATTTAAAAAATAAAAAAAGACAAAGAAATACAGGTTTATATTATGTACATTATATTTTTGTTATTGTGATCACCATAAAACCATTTTATTTACAACTTGGGAAGCTGGGCGTACTGATCAACCAACTTGGTAAATGCATCCGACTTGGACTTGGGAGCATCCTGCGGGCGTTTCCAAGACTCAGGGAATGGGTGATTGGGGTATCTAGACTTGTTACGTCTCTTTCTGGCTTCAACATGCGAAGTGGACAAGGGGATATCTTCAAACGAGTCACTAAGATCCTTAGCCTCGGAAACAAGAGAATTGATAATGTCACCCAGATAACGGACATTCTGGGCGGCCTCTGGAAATGCTGACGAAGACATCTTGATGGTGTCGGTGGTGTGGTCGTAACGTGGGCCGGCCAGCAGACGCAGCTTGTGACGTTGCTTGTCATTGAGCTCTGTCAGATCACTTGTCTTAAAAGTCACAACAACCTTGGCCTCACCAGCATGGTCTTCGCCCATGTACGTTGTGTAACGGAAACGCAGAACCTCCGACTCAGTCGGGGGTTTGTACTCGCTTGCAAACTTGGCAAGCTGAGGGAGCTCGTAGGCCGCAATACGGTTGTACTCACGCTGCACACGATGGTCACGCAGTTGCAAGTGACCGAGCGATGGGATATCATCGTACTTAAAGGGGAAATGAGCGTTTTGAATCGGCATGTTGGTGTTAAGCTTTTGCAGCAAGAACTGCTCCTCGGCCTTGGATCCGGGCACAAACCCAGTAGCAGGAGACTTAGAAGCCCCTGGCGATGACGCCGAATCACCAGAAGACTTTTTCGAAGAAGATTTGCCGGTATTCTCGACGGTTGTGCGCTGGTAAATGTCACGGAGACTTGCCTCAGAAATACCAAGAGCTTTGGCCGCAGTCAGCAGCGGCTTGAGCTCCTCTTCGGACTTTTTGTAGTTGGGCATCTCGCGCATCTTGCGGAACCCCTGCTGAAGCACCTCCTCGGGAGACAGCTCATTGGCACGGACTGCAGATTGTGAAAAATTGCGGATCGCAGAGGGTCTAAGGGCCCGTCTGAAAAGAGTCTGGATTGCCATGGTTGAGGGAGGGGAGATGGTGGATGTATGGGGGTAGTTGGTGGTGGTGGTAGTGGTGGTGGTGGTGATGATTTTTCATACCAAAAGAATAAAAAATTTTTGGGAGGTTTTCGGCTGTGAAAAAGGGTGGGCCAATAGAATCGGTCGTGATGGCTTGTACCCTTTACGTGCTGATGTTTACTGTGGATGTCAAAAATTTTTTCGCCAGGCTACACCACCACCACCGCTTACCCATCAGGACTGAAAAATATCCACCAAAGCTCTCCCGGGCCCCTCCTGCTCAGTTCACCAGCCATCAACAGACAACCATTATCATGAGCCTCCAGATCCTTGCTCGACGAGCTGCTTCGGTAGTCCCTAGATCCAGCGTCAATGCTGCTGTTTTTGTCAGATATAACTCTTCTTCAACCCCATCCTCCACATCTTCTACTCCAGCCCAACAACAACAACCCGCACAATCGATAACCTCGGAGAGCCTCGACAAGATCAACGCCTCGCAGTTGCTGGGCGCGCTGTCTGCGCAGGCGCGCGGCGACAAGACTGCAGACGAAGATGCTCGTGAGTGGCTGGCGGCCATCCGTGAACTTCGCAAAGATTTTACACAAAATGGCACTGCGCCGTTCAACCCCTTGCGCGCCTTTTCGCCCGACGAGGACGCCGAAATCAACCTTGTCCAGCAGGCTCTTGATGCCAGTCTGCACGACTCTAAGTTTGTTCCTACCCAGGAGCAACAGGCCCAGCTCGACCGTCTGCGCGACGTGGCCATCCCGGTCAAAACCGACCCTACGATCCAGTACCTCACCAATGTCATTATGCGCCATGGCCGCAAGGCTCGCGCCCAGCGCATCATGTCTGAGGCCCTGTACCTTGTCCACCTGTCGACTCGCCGTGATCCCGTCGAGCTTCTCAAGTCCACTCTTGAACGCATGTCGCCTCTTCTCAAGCTCCGCAGATATACAGATGGTGGTGCACGTGCCGAAATGGTGCCTGTTGCGCTGTCGGAGCGCCAGCGCACCCGCCACGCTTGGAACTGGATTGTTGAAGCTTCTGATAAGCGTAACTCCAAGTCCTTTTCCGTGAGACTTGCTAATGAAATCATTGCTGCATCCAACGGTTCTGGCTCTGGCTTCTCCAAGAGAGAACAACTGCACAAGTCTGGTATTGCAGCCAGATCCTTCATCAAGAAGTTGTAAATGAAAAGCAAGTGTGTATATTTTGTGTAAATATTATTATATTAAGAAAAAAAAAAGCAAATAATGAAAAAAAAAAAAAAAAAAAAAAAAAACATTAGAATTAATCTTTGGAAGTCTTGCTTTCCTTGGTACTGGATTTCTTGCGAGTAGCCTTCTTCTTCTTGTCCTTTTCCTTTTCTTTCTCTTTTTCCTTTTCCTTTTCCTTTTCTTTCTCTTTTTCCTTTTCCTTCTTTTCCTTCTTGGACTTCTTGTTATCAGACGAAGCCTCAGTCTCATTCTTTCTCTTTCTGGAGGCACGAGGCTTCTTGATGGGAGTAACAGGCGAACGCACAACGGGCTTTACAATGTGCTCGTCCTCAGACTCAATATCAGATTCCTCCTTCAACTCAACAGCTCCCTTGTGCTTGAACGTATTAAGATCAACACTGTCATCTTCATCTTCTTCCTCCTCTACTTTGGCTTCTTCTTCTTCTTCTTCTTCCTCCTTCTCAGACTCGTCCTCAGACTCATTCTCAGATTTCTCTTCTTCTTCTTCTTCGGCATTGGGGTGCTCCTGGTCATATGTAGTCTCAAGCTCGTTTTCATCTTCTACTTCTTCATTTTTCTTGACATTCTTAGCCTCTTTAGGAGAAGTTTCAGTTGGAGGCTTGCCATTGGCATTCTTATTTGACAAGCCAGCAAGGTAAAGCTTCTTTTCAGCCATGTACTTCTGGTAGTGATCCAAGTACTGGGCCTTCCATGGCTCTTGTCCCTCAGCAGAAAGCTCATTCCAACGCTTAGCCAGCTCCACCGTCATTTCGCTATTTCCAAGTGGTGGCTCACCCTTTTTCTCGCGCTCCTCGCGAATCACCTTGCGCTCAGTAGCTGCAAACAAAAAGTAAGACGTTGTAGGCTTCTTAGGTGCATCAGGGTCAACAGTATATTTGCGACGAGGAAGCTTAGATCCACGCTTGCTTTGGCTAGGAGGAGTGGTGGCGGCAGCAGCAGATGCAGCAATCGCAGATGCATTAGCAGATGCAGCAGCAGCAGCGGCAGCGGCAGCTTCTTTTTGAGGGGTCTTAAGCAGCTCGTTGGGTAGCACATTGTGAGCAGAAGTGGTCAGGCTAAGAGATGCCGCGTTGAGAGACGCAGCAAATGACAAAAGGTGGACTGGAATATCGTCCTTGAGCTCTTCAAGAAGATTGAAAAAGTCTACTGTAGCACTGGCGCATTCTTGTGCAGACTTTGACAGTGAGAACTGTGCACTGACAACCTAATGATACTAGTTAGAAAAGTTGTTTGAATATTTATTTGAATGTTTAAACGTTGGTTTTTTTTTTGTACGCTGGTATAGTTGTGAAAAAATATTAAAAAACGCGAAGCGACGCGTCAAAGAGTATTATGCCAGAAAGGTCAAAAAAAAACGCGATATTAAAACAAAAAATCAAAGTATCATTTTAAAAGACATACTCTGTCCTTGCGTTGCTTGAGCAGCGCCAAAAGATCTGAGGTCAATTTAGCCATAATATTTGAATAGAAATTTAAAGGGTTGTGTGTTGTTGAAAAAAAAAAAAAAATTGTGGTGATTGTGGAATTATTTTGGGGGGAATGTAGGTTTGTTGAGGTTTTGTTTGGGAGAGAAAGAAAACAAAAAAAACAAGTTTTGGTGGTGGTGCACATAAAGGCAGGTGGCTTTGGGCGGTAAATTTAGGGTGGGTTGGGCAGCCTGGAGTGCTGGCACTGTGCTAAATTATTAGCACTGTGTTGGGTACTGTACTGGTTGGCTTGTCTGTAGTCACAGACTGGGTTTTACAAAAAAAAAAAATAAAGCAGTATTGGATATTAAAATGTAGTATAACATCAAAAGAGATTTTAATTAAATCAGTTTTATTGATAAGTCTGAGAGCTTTTAATTGTACTTTTAACATATTTTATATTTAATATTAAGATCTGAATTTATAAAGAATTAGTTGTTCTTCTATCTGAAGTGAATTTACGACCGAAATACGTGATAAAAGATGGTGTTGTTAAACCGCAAATTTTCAATAAAAATATTACAAAATTAGACCTAAAATGAAGGTGTCTTTCTTAAATCTCTTAAATTTTACTTAAAAAATGATGGATTGATTTGATTTTAATACATTATTTGATGGTTTTTATAACTCAAAACAAAAAGTGTGAAAAATGTAAACATTGACAATATAGACCAATCAACATTAAAAACAAAAAATAACACTTGCTCCGTGGGAGGATCGAACTCTCGACCTTCAGATAGCACAATTATTTGAAACTATGAGACTGACGCTCTACCAACTGAGCCAACGAAGCTTAATGTTTTTATAAGAAAATTACTCTTTTGAAAGTAATATTCTTACAGAACTTACCGAGAATATAAATCACTAGAAATGTTTTAGAGGGGAAAGAAGGAAAAAACCATGTCAGACCCCCCCAACAACACCCAAACCACGTTTAGTGGCGGCGACCCTCCTGCCGACAATAATTATACCGACAATAATAATGAACAGACTAATATTAATGATATGCAAAAAATTATTGCTGTTGAACTGAAGGAGAAAGAAAGTTCTCATTCCAGAGGACCTCATTCTCATGAAGCTCATCACATCAAACCCTCGACAAAAATCCAAAAAAATAATGAAAAACCAGACTCCCATAAAAAAATTGAAACTATCCACAAAAAGCTTGAATCGAATGATAAGCATAATGCTTCTTCAAACCACGAAACCCCCGTTGAAACCCCTATTGTGAATGTTGGTCCAACCTTGAACCCTACCTTTGACTCTTCACCAGATGGTGGTGATGTGGAAATTGACGCAACACCATCACGTGACATGGATGTTCTCATGCCGGATGCAAATCCATTTGGTGATAATTCTGAAGCCTGGGAATACATCTTAAAACTTAAGGATGTATTTCTGGTTGAATTGTCTATTGTTAAAGAAGACTTGAGTATTACAATTGAAGATTGGGAAATAAAATTTCAAAATCTTGAACTTAAAAAAACAATGAGTTAGCTAAACAACTCATTGCTTTGACCGAAAAGCTTAAAGCTTCAGAAGGACAAGTGAATTCTCTTCGCTCAGAACTTGATGTTTTGAGAAACAATCAGGTTCACACAGAAGTTAAACATGTAATGTTTGAAAAACTTAAAAAGGAAGTTAAGGATAATAAGGATCATTGCGATAAAGTGAAACATAAAGCTGATGAAATAGCTAAGATGACTCTTCAAGATTTGTCTCAAGAAAAAGCAAGAAACAAAAGAATTATCGACACTGAAATCAAGGAATTCAAAGAAATGACCAACAATCTTGAGAAAAGAGTTGATAATATGGAATACAAAGTTGGAACTATTTCAACTAAGGCTGATTTAACTACCAAAGAACTTAGCTACGCAAAAAGGAAATCAAGAGTGCGGTAAGAAAAGTCGACACTTTGCCTTTTGCTTTGACCCCTAAAAACTCCAAATGGAGCAACTCCAAAGTTGAAAGACATTATGAAGGCTCAAAAACAACACCGTGAAACTAAAGTTGATGAAGACAAACCCACTTTTAGAGTGTGCATAAGAATTCCAGATACCATGAAAAGAGTTAATATCCCTGCGATTGGAAAGAAAATTGATGCGGTTGCACAAAAGCCGGTGGCTCAGGAAATAGGCTATACTGTCAAAGGGCATTTATATGTTCAACTTAATGACAAAGATTTTGCTGATAAAGCTGCAGAATGGATCCCCAAAGTTGACCCTACTTATTCAGTGCTTGACACAGATTCTTGGCACAAGGCTGTACTTCAGGAAATACCTAATACGGCATCGATTGAAGACTTGAAAGAAACTCTCTACAATTTTAATGATTACCATATTGTTTTGAATACCGAACCCAAAATCATTAGCAGAAACCAATTTACCCAAACAGCATTGGTTTCATTCAGAAATGCCCAAGACTATGCAAAGTGTGCTGATAATCTTATTATCCAGTACACAAAAGTTAAAGTTAGACCTTTTATTAGCAGAAAAAAAAACTCCTGAAGAACTCCAAGCTATGCGTAATAAGATACGATTATTGAAAAATGAATCAGACAAAAAGGATAATGAGGCCCATCCTGTTTCCACTGACGACTCACAAGATGAACCGATGAAAGAAACAAATATTGAAAAACTAGATGAATCCAATGAGGAAGAAAACGAAAACAATTCTATTACATCCAATGAATTATAAAGTATTCCAACTCAATTGTCATAAATCGAAATCTATTACTGAAACTATCTTAAATAAAAAAGAACCTGATATCTTGTTATTACAAGAACCTTACTTTAACAACTATGGGCCCATTAAACATAAAGATTGGATCCCAATCTTTACAGAAACTGGAAAAGAAAAAAAAAATGCAGAGCAATTACTTACATTAGGTCTAACTCTGACTTACGAGCATTAACTACTAAAATTGAAAAGTTTACAAATCGAGATATGGTTACCATTTTGGTTAAAGACATTACAATTGTCAATGTCTATAATCAACCGAAACCATCCAAGAAATACCCTGAGCCACCGGTTTTTGAGTTTCTCAAACGGGAGATCAAGGAACAATACTCAAAGATTGTCATTGCAGGTGATTATAACTTACATCACAAGGAATGGGAGTCAAGGGCAGGTCCGAATACGGAAGCAGATGAAGTTGTTGAGTGGCTACATGAAAATGATATGATGTTAATTACTCCAAGAAATCAAAAAACATACAACAATAGAACCAATATTGATTTGGTTTATGGCTCAGTGGACTTACTTCATAGAATTTCATTTAGTGGAGTGGATGAAAATACACTAAGTGATCACTCAATTGTGGAGTGGGACATCTATATGTCTCAGAGTAAAAACAGGGATGAAGTTTTTACTTCGGTGAAGAGATTGAATATTAAGAATGCAGATTGGGAAAAGTTTGACAAGGAGCTTTCTTCTGCCATTAAAGATTTTAATGTGCATAACAAAACTCTAAAATCAACTGACCAAATTGATGACCAAGCTAAAGTTCTTGAGGAGGTTGTAAAAAGAGCAATGGCAAAGTCGATGAAGGAAGTTAAGGTGATGAAAAAGTCCAAACGCTATTGGAATCAAGAATTAAGGGAGAAGTTAGAAAAAGCGCTAGAAGCTAAAAGGGAAGCCCGTCAAAGACAACCTTCTTTGGCTTTGAAACGACAAAAAATTTGAAGAGGCAAAAAAGCTAGAAAAATTTTTTGACCACAGTTTGCGTGAGGCAAGTACTGAGCAATGGAATAAATATTTGTCTAGTTTAGAAGGAAATGACATTTGGAAGATTTTGAAGTATATTAATCCAAAAAGCAATGATACCATTATACCACAAATTAGAAAAGAAGATGGAACTCTCACTACTACTGTTGACGAAAAAGACATGAAATATGGAAGGCACTTCTACCTGAAATTGATCATGGTCTTGATAGAGAGTTTGAAATTGATGACGATTCTCGATGGCCAAAATTAGAGTTTGATGAAGTTGACTCTGCATTGGCTGATACCCCAAATGATAAAGCTCCAGGAGACGATGGAATTACTGGCAAAGTTTTAAAGATGGCATGGCTAAATAAAGACTTTAAGGAAAGGTTTTCAAGCTTCTCCAAGCTTGTGTAAAGTTTGGATACCACCCAAAAGTCTGGAGACATGGCATTATTGTTGTTATACCTAAACCTAAGAAACCTGACTATTCAAAGCCAAGAGCATACCGACCAATTTCCTTACTTAAGATTCCATCTAAAGTACTGGAAAAAATTATACAAAAAAGAATGACCAAGCTTACAACACACTTACTTCCACCAGAGCAATATGGGGGAAGACAAGGTTATTGTGCTACTGATGCTGTTTTGGAACTTGTCCAAAGAATTGAAACTAGTAAGGAAAAAATTTCAGCTATGCTCATTGATATTCAAGGAGCTTTTGATAATGTTAACAGAAATATATTGGCACACACAATGGAGGATATGAAACTACCCAAAGCACTTATAAACTGGACGTACCAATTTGTAAGTGAAAGAGAAGCTAGTATGCTCATGGACCGAAGAAAAGGATCAGTGCAAAAAATTAGTACTGGAATTCCGCAAGGCTCACCTATTTCACCACTACTTTTTTTGATATATTCCACACCAATGTATCATGCCATTAAAGAATGGGGTGGAACTCCTTTTGGCTTTATTGATGATGTGACTATTACCGTTGAAGGTAAAATTGAAGAAAATACCAAAAGCTTAAGCAACATATTAGAAAAAATGTTGTAATTGGGCTAAATCAAGAATGACCAAAATTGATTTGGGTGATAAATTGGGTTTTATTCATTTTACAAAAAATGTGAAACCTAAAGATGAAAAAAAAGTGCAACTTACTTTACCTAATGGAGAACTTCGTGAACCCCAGAAGGAAGTTAAATTGCTTGGAATTACTTTGAACAATCTGCTTGATTTTAAATCTCATATTTTGAATAAAATCAATAAAGCAAGAAAAGCTGTTGGTGCTATTTGGCATCTTGGTGGCGTGCAAAAAGGTATGCGAGGGTCTGCAGTCAGATCACTGTATATTGCTTGCGTGAGACCAATTGTCGAATATGGCTTAGAAATTTGGCATCACAAAATTTTGAAAGGAGAAATCCACAAGTTGGAAGTAATGCAGAATATGGCTTTAAGAAGAATTGTTGGTGCTTATCGCACAACTCCTATTGCGGTACTACAAAAGGAAGCTGGTATTATGCCATATAGTATTAGGCTAAAATTTATGGTGGCACGAAAAGCTATTCGTTTACACCTAAATATTAGCAAAACTAATCCTATTAATGGTCATTTGTTAACATTGATTGAGAAATCTCCAATTGCAAAGCTAACCACGCTTTACATGTTGGCGAAAGATGATAGAGACTATATGAATAAAAAGGATGAAAAACGAAAATGCAAGAGGGTTGAACCTCTTACACTGAAACAACAACAAAATCAGACGATTGGAATTTTGAAGAAACAAGCAATGGAAGAATGGCAAGAAATGTATTGGAACAGCAGTAAGGATCTGTGGTATCATAATATCACAGTGGAGTCGAAATGTACTGATAATCTTTCCAAAATGGTTACGGGAGTGATCATGAAGAAAGATAGTCGAAGGATCTTGAGTAATATTACTCAATTTCGCACAGGCCATGGCAACTTTGGCGCATGGTTTAAAAAGTTTGGAATTGAAAAGGATAGTTACAACTGCAAATGTGGAGAGCTGGAAACAGTTCATCACATTTTAGTTGAATGTCCTTTGCTTGAAGAGGAAAGAAAAGGACTGAAACGGATATCTCCAGAGATGGACATGTCGACTCTCTTAAACAGTTTAACTGGCTTACAAGAGATTGTAAGCTTTATCTCTGCTTGGAGGGATTAAGAAATACAATTACAGCGTTGATGAAGACAAGTGGAGATAGGTTGGGAAGGTTTGGTTATTTTAACCCCCTGTTCCTCGTAAGCTGGCATCAGGACTTATTTTCGGGCTGTTGGAGATGCAATGTTGAAGCCAAAATTAAAAGTTTATTATTAACATGAAAAAATATATAGTATGGACAAGAAGGATAGCGCAGATGCTGATGTTATATAATTCTATAACCCTTGAATAAAAACAAACAAACAAACAAACGTTTTAGAGGGGAAAGGGCTGGATAGTGTAAAGGACAACACGTTCGCTTGACAGCGGAAGATACTGGGTTTGATTCCCAGAATACCCCCTTTTCCTGAGGATGTGTACGGGAGTATACACCTAGACTGAAAAACCATAGGCTACCCTGGTTACAGGAATGCCGACTCTTCCGTACAGTCTAATAGCCTGCAGGTGATTGCGGGCCGCATCTCTGACGGAAGAGATTAAGAAATACATGGGCGTCCGTCAAGATAAGTGGAAATGGGTTGGGAAGGTTTTGGGACCGACAGACTGGTTCTCCCTGTTCCTCGTAAGCTGGCATCAGGGCCCATCTTCCGGGCTACCGGAGACGCACAGAACAGAAACCACCCGTACTAAAAAGGTACAAATGAAAACCGGCAAGTCACATAGTCAGACAATAAAAGGATAGCGCAGATGCTGATGTTATATAGTTCTATAACCCTTGAATAAAAACAAACAAACAAACAAACTAGAAATGTTTTAGTGTAACTGCTGTTTTGGAACTTGTCCAAAGAATTGAAACTAGTAAAAAAAAAAATTTCAGCTATGCTCATTGATATCCAAGGAGCTTTTGATAATGTTAACAGAAATATATTGGCACACACAATGGAGGATATGAAACTACCCAAAGCACTTATAAACTGGACGTACCAATTTGTAAGTGAAAGAGAAGCTAGTATGCTCATGGACCGAAGAAAAGGATCAGTGCAAAAAATTAGTACTGGAATTCCACAAGGCTCACCTATTTCACCACTACTTTTTTTGATATATTCCACACCAATGTATCATGCCATTAAAGAATGGGGTGGAACTCCTTTTGGCTTTATTGATGATGTGACTATTACCGTTGAAGGTAAAATTGAAGAAAATACCAAAAGCTTAAGCAACATATTAGAAAAATGTTGTAATTGGGCTAAATCAAGAATGACCAAAATTGATTTGGGTGATAAATTGGGTTTTATTCATTTTACAAAAAATGTGAAACCTAAAGATGAGAAAGTGCAACTTACTTTACCTAATGGAGAACTTCGTGAACCCCAGAAGGAAGTTAAATTGCTTGGAATTACTTTGACCAATCTGCTTGATTTTAAATCTCATATTTTGAATAAAATCAATAAAGCAAGAAAAGCTGTTGGTGCTATTTGGCATCTTGGTGGCGTGCAAAAAGGTATGCGGGGGTCTGCAGTCAGATCACTGTATATTGCTTGCGTGAGACCAATTGTCGAATATGGCTTAGAAATTTGGCATCATAAAATTTTGAAAGGAGAAATCCACAAGTTGGAAGTAATGCAGAATATGGCTTTAAGAAGAATTGTTGGTGCTTATCGCACGACTCCTATTGCGGTATTACAAAAGGAAGCTGGTATTATGCCATATAGTATTAGGCTAAAATTTATGGTGGCACGAAAAGCTATTCGTTTACACCTAAATATTAGCAAAACTAATCCTATTAATGGTCATTTGTTAACATTGATTGAGAAATCTCCAATTGCAAAGCTAACCACGCTTTACATGTTGGTGAAAGATGATAGAGACTACCTGAATAAAAAAGATGAAAAACGAAAATGCAAGAGGGTTAAACCTCTTACACTGAAACAACAACAAAATCAGACTATTGGAATTTTGAAGAAACAAGCAATGGAAGAATGGCAAGAAATGTATTGGAACAGCAGTAAGGATCTGTGGTATCATAATATCACAGTGGAGTCGAAATGTACTAGTAATCTTTCCAAAATGGTCACGGGAGTGATCATGAAGAAAGATAGTCGAAGAATCTTGAGTAATATTACTCAGTTTTGCACAGGCCATGGCAACTTTGGCGCATGGTTTAAAAAGTTTGGAATTGAAAAGGATAGTTACAACTGCAAATGTGGAGAGCTGGAAACAGTTCATCACATTTTAGTTGAGTGTCCTTTGCTTGAAGAGGAAAGAAAAGGACTGAAACGGATATCTCCAGAGATGGACATGTCGACTCTCTTAAACAGTTTAACTGGCTTACAAGAGATTGTAAGCTTTATCTCTGCTTGGAGGGATTAAGAAATACAATTACAGCGTTGATGAAGACAAGTGGAGATAGGTTGGGAAGGTTTGGTTATTTTTAACCCCCTGTTCCTCGTAAGCTGGCATCAGGACTTATTTTTGGGTTGTTGGAGATGCAATGTTGAAGCCAAAATTAAAAGTTTATTATGAAAATGAAAAGATATATAGTATGGACAAGAAGGATAGCGCAGATGCTGATGTTATATAATTCTATAACCCTTGAATACAAACAAACAAACAAACAAGTTTTAGTGTAACCTTGCTACAGAAAAAAAAATATATAGTAAGAACAAACCGGATAGCTCAGATACTAAAATTTTATCATTCTATCCCTTGAATAAAATCAATCAAACAAACAAACAATTTTAGTTTCACTATTTGAATAAAAACATCCAAATAAGCATCCAATATCTAAAGGAAAATTAAAAAAAAACATGTTTGTGCAACTTAAAAACATATTTATTTAACCACAAAAAATACTGGTTTAATCATCAGATTCCCCACTCTCCCTAGATGAAGTGTAAGGGAGTGCATACCTCATCTGAACCCCCAGGCTACCCTGGCCAACAGAAAAGCTAACTTTTCTGTTTAGTATAATTAGTCTGAAAATTACTGCTTGGCCAATCTCATTTAAAAAGGATTAAAAAATTCATGAGCATCCTTTAAGACATGTAGAAATGGGTAGGGTAGGTTTGGAAGTGCTGAACAGGTTTACCCTGTTCCTTATAAGGAGGAATCAAGACTCATTATCTGGGCTACCGGAGGTGCATAGAAAAAATATCATCTGTACAAAAAAAATATACAAGTAGTAGTCGGCAAGTAACCAAAGTCAGGCAATTAAAAGGATAGCATTGATGCTGGGTATTGTGTACTTCTGTAACCCTTGAATAAACGACAATATCAAATTTTGTTTAAAAAGGATTTTGCGTTAAAATTTACTTTAAATTTATTATGTTTCTACATTATCGATTGTATTTGAATTCCGAAAATAACTAGTTTTTTTTCTTCATATGACTTGATTTATCTTTCTTGGTACCCCCAGGAACTTCCTCAAATGCGTGCTTCATACATACCCCTAAAATCACAAGATCAACTCTCTTTTTGCCTGGTTTTTAAAAAAATATATTTTAATTAGACTAAAATTATCTAAAATCCTAGTTGGTTTAATTAAAGGAAAAAAGAAAGGCAATTACTTGTTATGCTTCAAGATTCATTATTATTTTCTTTTTAAACAGATTTTGAAAACTCCTAAACTGCGAGTTATGAGGGTATTTTTTTTTCTAGAATTGTCTAAATATTTTATATGAGCAAAAAGAATATGATCATAGAATTTCATTTTATTCAATTTCTAACTTACAATTGACTTCTGGTTATAAAAAAAAATAAACTAATAATAATCATTTACTTGTATGCATATAATTTTTTCAAGGTATGCCCGTCAAACTGTAACCACAGTTGACTGTGTTTGGTTAAAATTGATTGTTTATTTTAACGTGGATCGGGATTTTTTACTTAAAAAGGTATTGCTAAACGAACCAGTTAATTAAAATAACAATGGTTCGTGATGGTGATAACAGTAGAAATGGATATGTGGCGGAAAAAACATTCATCAAAATCTCGCAATGGATTTTTCTAGAAATTAAAATATCATTTTGAAAAAAAAAAAAAAAAAAAAAATTGTCAAAATGGTTGCACCAACAAGGCCTTGAACCATATTAAATTTAATATTGCGCCCCCTCTTTTTCTTTTTTTTTTGTCTTTCAATTGTAGTTTGAAAAAAAAAAAAAAAAAAAAAAAACTCAAAATAGTACAACTGTATTGCATATATCGTAGTGTTTCTTTTTTTTTCCTTTAACTTCGGCGATAATCCTATTTGGAAGGGAATAAGAATTCATTATAATTATATTTCTTTCAATAGTAACAGTGCGCGCACAAGCAAATATTGATGGGTTTCATTCCCAATTATCAAAATGATTGCCAATTAGGGACTATCTATATTAGATTAAGTATATTTAAATGTAAAAATAAATATAAGAAAAATAATAAAAAATGAAATGAAAATAATGAACTTGGGTTTCTTGAGGCAATTGATGACCTTTTTATTCTCTCAAAGTAAATTACCAGGATCCAAAAAGTCAGATGAAACTCATCATGAGATCTCAGCTTTTTTTTTTCAGTATATGTTAATGGTGAACAACAAGCACCTGAATTAGGTCCTGTCTGCCAGTTAATGGTTTTAAACAGGGATCCCATAAAGTTAATTAGAATATGCTGAAAATACATATATCTTGTCTTGTGAATTGTCAATATGAAATTCACGTATTCCCTTTTGTACCTTTTAAAACCAAAAACCAAAAACTTTCACAATTAGAAATAACGGAACGTAAGTCCTTGTTTGAAATAGCAATCTCAATTTAAGGTCACTCTATTATGGTACGCATCATGTTTCTAGATAGCATCTGAATGAGGGAAAAAAAAATATTGTGTAGTTTGAAATACAAACTTAGATAGTTTTCATTTTAGTTTTCCACTTTAAACTCGTAGTCCTCCCTTAGGGCCTATCTCCCTTTGATAATTTGAAAAATAATCTAGATCAAAAACGTCATCAAGACCTGTCAAATGGAGGTTTTTTTTTGTCAGGGCCTCTTTGTTTTTAGTCTATTTTTGTAGGTGGTTTGAAATAAGATGTGATAGGTAAAAGGGATGGATAACTTTTTTTAAAGTTCGCCAAAGAAAGTTTTCTTGCTGTTTAGTCCAAAATCTAACCATGTTAACAGAGGGGATTCCTTTTTTCTTCCCATTTTTTTTTCTTTCTTTCTTTCTTTCTAACATTCCAAAGTTAAACCGAAACTCATTTAAGGGTAGAAAATGCGTTGGAGGTACAGATTGACATTTTATACAAGTAGTGCGAAAAAAAAAAAATTTAAAGTTAACCAAAATGCCCACATTTTTTTTTTGGTCTTAAATACATTCTTAGTACTAAAGTACTAAGAGTACTAGAGTAAGATAGTAATCTATATTTTTTCTAACTTTGGCACTTTTTTTCCGAATTGCCCTTTTGTTAGTCCATGACGTCTAAAGATTTCTAACCGAGAAAAAGGTCTAGATCTGATAAATAAAGTTAAAATGAAGTGATATATTCAAGAGTATTAAAGATTTGGATTCCTTTAATCATTTTTTTAATTTTTTTAATTTTTTTCTCGAAGTGTTGTGTGTTTATGTGCTATGGATACAAAACAATTTTTTTTTTTTTTCAGTCCGCAAACCGTAAAACTGAGGCTGGGTTAAAGGGAATAAAAATTAGAGGTAGTCAGTCAATCGAGATAAATGGTATCTTTTTTGGGTGTGGATCGGACCCCGGAAAAAACTGAATGACTTTTTTTTTTGTTTTAACCATCAGCAGACTTCGTGAGATTATACTTTGGAATGTCGCCAAAATACCACACACAAAAAGAATTAATAATCGGAAAGAGCTGGTTTCTTTTGTTCGCTGATAAGGAAAGTAGCGTAGTAAAAGGAGAAGGAGAAGACGCTGCAATACCTTGTTTTTGTTACACCAGCATGCAGGAGGTTTTACAAAGCGTGTACTCATGTTCACGATACTTGGATTTAAGAAGAAGACATGCGCAAAAGAGGATTACTGAATAAAAAAAGTTTATTATCAAGTTAGAATTATTATCATTACTCTGTTTAACTATTAAATACTACTATATAGCTATAAAAAAAGTTGCCTTCGAGGTAACATTTGTGAGCAAAGTGGTCTCTTTTTCTCGTTCTTTAAAAAAGGTTTGCGGCCTTTGTTTTTTTATGGATTGTGTGTTTTAATAAAAAAAAAACAAAAATCGTGGGATTCCCAAAGAGGAAAGCCTCAGACATAACGAGAGATTTTTTCCTGTTTGAAAGTATCAAATCATCCTTAAGTTACTTATTATGATATACACTATTATATAAAAGTCTGTACCCATATTAGAAAAAAAAAAAAAAACGAAAAAAAGAAAGGAAAAAATGTGCTCGGAGAAATGAGAAAAAAGTGGCAGCATTTGGATAGGGTGTACCTCAGAAACGTGGAAATAAAACAGAAAAGCACATTATACAGATCCGATCGATACCTGTTTCCAATTCAAAGTTCCACCGAGAACATCACATAAATCGTTAAATCAATTGCGCTTGAAAAAAAAATAAGGCATATTACATGATTCTTTTATTCCAGATTCGTAATCAAAAGAAAAGGAATTCTGAGAAAAAGATTGGTACAACATCAAGTTTTTTTTTTTTTTTTTCAAATATCTCTTGTGACAATGAGATAACGAGAAACCATATTATTATTGTTTTAAATGAATGAAAAAATAATAATAATAATAACATGGCTAAATGCCTCTTCTATTTTTCTGCAAAAATTCAAAGCCGTTGATGTGTCTAAGTGGCTTTCCACGATGATAAACAAGTCTATCTAGATAAGAAAATGGGCTTCTTTGAGATTTCCGACGATGCTTTTGGGTGTTCTGTCTTGACCACTATAATCATTGATTTTTAGTGGGAGGTTGAAAAAGAATTGAAAGTAAGTCGAAAAAGCAATACGAGAAAATACCATGGCCTGGAGACATGTCCCAAAGAGTAAACTTGACTTGGTGCTGGTTGCAGTAATAATATTAATAAAAAAAAATCAATCACTTAAAAGAAAGCCATTCTTTTTTTTAAACAAAATATAACCTCTTGTTCTCTCTATTTGGTACACGATAGTTTTTTTTTTTTTTTGGTTTATTGCCTTGTGGTCTAAATTAATTAACCCCAAAATAAAAAAAAAATTGCGTTTATCAAAAGCTAAAGAAAGACTTGATACTTCAAGAAGAATATAAAGGTGGGATTTTTTTTAGGGTAAAGTTATTTGTAGGATTCCTTTTTTATTTTTTGGGTTAAAATCAAATATCCCACCTTCACGATATCTATAAAAGTTGACTAAATGGTGTATCAGATTGCCATTATTAAACGTAGCACAA